TATATGTTTAAACATCACTACTCCACATACCAATAGATCCGGACATGTGACGGAGGAGACGAGCCACGCGTCCCCGGAGGCTGGATATACAGACTGCCCGCTGCGGCTTAGACGCTGCATAAGAAAATCACTTAAAAAATCAGCTGAATGTATAAACCAAACCAAGCATAGGGTTCGTCTTGAAGTAAGTTCTGTACCTCCATCCAACATCTTGGTCAACACGTGAACAGCATATTTCTTAGACGCCAGGTCAAGAAAGCGCGGCTGGAGCTCATTGAACACAGCTTCCTTTTCAGCTTGTGAGCAATACTTGACACAAGTCTACATAACATAAGAAACCAATACAGTCAACTATTTGTTAAGATATAGATTCTCAGAGATTTGTCAGCCTTAGAAACACACACCTGAAGCACACGGGAAGAAACACTTGAACGTGCAATCTCTGGGATCTTCCCCTTCATCTTTTGTACAGCTTCAGATATCAGCCTAACAAGTAGTTTTTAAAAAATCAATCAAAAAAATTATAAAGACAGAGCCTTTTAATATCAAAGAGTCTAAGCATTCTTTATTGGATTACTAACTTTGATCGATCCTCCTTCGCAATGTCACGGCGCCTCATCTTCTCCCATAGAGATGTAAGCTCCTGTGGTATGATGTATGAAGAGTGTTTAGTTACATGCTCATTGTTATTAAGATAAAGCCATAAATCACAATTACAAAAAGAAAGCTACATACTTGCTCAAAAGTGTAACGTGGCCTCCTCCTCTTCTTCCTGGCTTCTGCTTCCTCCTGCAACACACATCAAGAATCAGAAACCAAATTCTTATTCAACCATTGGAGATGGATTCCAATTCCAAATGTTTAAATTCGAGTAGATTCAAAAAGAGGAGAACCTTAGCCTTGATTTAATCACCTAAGGATATACCAAAAGTTTAGCGACTAGGTAGATTAACAAAGGGGTCGGAGCCTCGACAGTGGAATGATCATACCTTAGTGTTTCAAGTTCTAGAATGACACCTAATTGCAGTAACCCTAATTGATTGATTTCTTGCTTCATGAATTGCTTATCTTAAGACTATCCTATTGCTTAGCCCTTTTCTCCTATTGATCTTATTCTATTTGAAACTTGCATGCCTTTACTCTTACTGCACTCAACCAAACCTTATACTTTTGCCCTAGCTCGATCTCGAACTTATAGCTTGTAGTGTGCAATCTGGTCCTCGTGTTCGATACCCGTTTACTACTTCTGACCTGTGCACTTACAGAATCAGGGATAGGAAAGGGGAAGACCTGATCCCGCGATCAAGTTTTTGGCGCCGTTGCCGGGGACCAATTTGTCACCTACAAGTTCCTGCAAGAGAGCTAGTCTAGGGTTTTATCTTTTTCCTTTTTAGTTTTGTTATTTTCCCTTTTCCTTTTGATTTGGTTTTTCCTTTTTGTTTTTGATCTTTTTCAGGCTTTCCTAGTTAGATATGGAAAATGATTCACAAGTCCTTGTTCCTATAAAGGCGATTCCACTTCGTCAAATACCACCTCAAAGAAACCTCTTGGACGAACAAGAGATGTCAAGCCCTCAAGCACCACCACCTTCTTGGGATAGTCCTCCAAAACTATCCTCCTTGAAGACAAAGAAGAAACTTCTTCCCTACCTTGAAGCAGCCGACCTGGAGACATCTAGCCAAGCCGCATCTTACAGAGAAGAACACCTTCTAGCCACGCCAGAAGAGGAGATTAACCCTGAGATGATTGAGTTCGTGAAGAGAGATCAATTCCATCATCTGTTTTCAGAGTATGCGCTAGAGCATCTGGATCACTTTGATAATCTTTGTGATTCCTATGGAGTCTTTGACTTTGAGAAGAAGATGATGCTATTCAGCACATCACTAGCTGGACCAGCACTAGATTGGGCGCAGCATGAGCCACTCTCTACAATCGAGTCATGGATCGATTTTAGAGAAGCCTTCTTGAAGAGATTTGCAAGGCTACCACCTTTCAAGTCCAAGTACAATCACTACTCTCATCAGCTGGAGAGAGAGCGTGAAGAAGAAGAATGGGGAGGCATACCACCCCATCTTGAAGAGCTAATCAAGCATGTGGAGAGAAACCCTTTCTACAATTCTACTTCAGAGTGTGCAAAGGAGCATCTATGCAACTTTGAGCAGCTTTGCCACGACTATGGAGTTGGAGATAACCCCAAGAAGATACAACTTTTCCAACTATCTTTAGCTGGACAAGCCAAAGAATGGGCTAAGTTCAACGCCCAACATGCTTTCAAGACTTGGAATGGATACAAAGGAGCTTTCCTCTACAGATTTGCTAAAGGTCCCATTTATGTTCCACCACCACGCCCCAGTAATTTTTCGATGGATTTCCGACGGTTTTCAACAGCACAAAAACGGTCGGTAATCCGTCGGCAATTTCCGACGGATTAGAACTCGTCGGAATTATTGGGATATTTTCGATGGTTTAGCGACAAATTTTATTTCCATCGTATATAGGGAAATATTTCCGACAGTGTTTCAACAGGCATGAAGTCCGTCGTAAATCACAGGAAACATTTCCGACGGTTTAATGAGGAATACAAAATCCGTCGGGAAAATTTTGATTAATTCCGTCTACAATTCGTCGGATATATTTGCGATAAATTTCCGACAAATTTCCGTTGAGAAAATAAGCGATGACTTTCCGACGGAATCATTTTCTGACGGATTATCGACAGATTTCCCGATCAGGACCATTGCGGATAATCTCTCAGTATTCCGCCGGGAAACTGTTTCGACGGGTTCCGACGGCTTACTATCGACAGATTATTGATGAACATCCCGACCATGATGGTTGTCGATAAACTCTCGGTAATCCGTCGTTAATAATTTTCGACGGATTCCGACGGTTATTTACGACGGATTTCCGACGAATGTTGTTTTTCCGACGACTTGTAATTGACGAATTATAACGGTCGGAAATCCGTCGATATAGATGGTTTCCGACGGTTGATCGACAATTTTCTCCATCAGTTTCACGCTGTTTTCTTGTAGTGCCGGACTTCAAACCAGTTCAATGCCACTGCATCAACTTTGGATGGAGCTAGAAAACGATCTACTCAATGGATTTCATCAAGACTAGTTCCCTGCGTGCTCTGATTGAGTTAACTTTCCAACGCAACTGGAACGGCCTCATTTGGATGAGTAGAAAAGGACTTATAGCCAAAAGAGCGAAGACTGTCCAAAGCCGATCTATCGAGAATCGACGCCCAAACCGCGCAGAACGGCCGGCCGAGGAACGCATGTTCCGCTCTCGGCCAAAATTGCGTCCGTCCGTCTGAAGTCTCGGCCAAAGTTCAAAACCGTTCGGCCGATCATGCATCACGACCCGGGAAACTAAGACCCGCAGTCGGCCACGCCACGACCGTCCACGCCTCGCCGCGCACGACCATGCCGCGCGAGCCGGGAAACAAAGCCTCGCGGCCGCGTAACCTATCTCGCGTACCACGGCCGATGGTTCCGGCTCGTCCCAAGTCCGGCCGAGAAACCATCGACCATTCCATCAACCGTCCGACCACACCGGCCGACCGTTAAATCATCCGGCCACGACCGTTCCGACACGGCCACAACCCGACTGTCGGGCCGATCGTCCCGACCGACCGTCTGAACGCCGCGGTCGCCCCAAAGCCGTTTTTGAAGCCCAATCCGCACAATCCAAGCCCAAAGCCGGCGCCGACCTAGCAAGATTAGGTCTAGCCGCTTTTTCATACTTAGTGTATTATAAATACTTCTTTTTAGCCTTGTAACTCAAGAAGGAGAGAGACCACAATATATTTTACATCTTTAATAAAGTTTTGGTTGCTTTTACTTTGTTCTTGCTTGTGCTCTTTCTAGAGAGGATTCGAATCTCTGTTCTTATGAATATGAATTCGTGTTCCTTCTCTATGTCTGAGTAGTTTACTTGTTAAGTGATAGGAAGTCAAAGGATAGCATTCATGTATGTTTGATGATTGATCACAATTAGGGTTTTACTTATAATCTCCATCTTTGCTTATACTTAATGCTTGTTGTTAATCTGGCCAATAAGCATATGAACTTGGGTTGATTTGAGCCTCGATAGTGCTGTATCATTCGCCTGAACTAGTATTTGGTGGGCAACCTCTTTTAGACTGCGAAAGTTGATTTACTTGTAGGTTGTGAACAATTGAACTTAATCAAACTAATGCTTGATTTAATCACCTAAGGATATACCAAAAGTTTAGCGACTAGGTAGATTAACAAAGGGGTCGGAGCCTCGACAGTGGAATGATCATACCTTAGTGTTTCAAGTTCTAGAATGACACCTAATTGCAGTAACCCTAATTGATTGATTTCTTGCTTCATGAATTGCTTATCTTAAGACTATCCTATTGCTTAGCCCTTTTCTCCTATTGATCTTATTCTATTTGAAACTTGCATGCCTTTACTCTTACTGCACTCAACCAAACCTTATACTTTTGCCCTAGCTCGATCTCGAACTTATAGCTTGTAGTGTGCAATCTGGTCCTCGTGTTCGATACCCGTTTACTACTTCTGACCTGTGCACTTACAGAATCAGGGATAGGAAAGGGGAAGACCTGATCCCGCGATCAAGTTTTTGGCGCCGTTGCCGGGGACCAATTTGTCACCTACAAGTTCCTGCAAGAGAGCTAGTCTAGGGTTTTATCTTTTTCCTTTTTAGTTTTGTTATTTTCCCTTTTCCTTTTGATTTGGTTTTTCCTTTTTGTTTTTGATCTTTTTCAGGCTTTCCTAGTTAGATATGGAAAATGATTCACAAGTCCTTGTTCCTATAAAGGCGATTCCACTTCGCCAAATACCACCTCAAAGAAACCTCTTGGACGAACAAGAGATGTCAAGCCCTCAAGCACCACCACCTTCTTGGGATAGTCCTCCAAAACTATCCTCCTTGAAGACAAAGAAGAAACTTCTTCCCTACCTTGAAGCAGCCGACCTGGAGACATCTAGCCAAGCCGCATCTTACAGAGAAGAACACCTTCTAGCCACGCCAGAAGAGGAGATTAACCCTGAGATGATTGAGTTCGTGAAGAGAGATCAATTCCATCATCTGTTTTCAGAGTATGCGCTAGAGCATCTGGATCACTTTGATAATCTTTGTGATTCCTATGGAGTCTTTGACTTTGAGAAGAAGATGATGCTATTCAGCACATCACTAGCTGGACCAGCACTAGATTGGGCGCAGCATGAGCCACTCTCTACAATCGAGTCATGGATCGATTTTAGAGAAGCCTTCTTGAAGAGATTTGCAAGGCTACCACCTTTCAAGTCCAAGTACAATCACTACTCTCATCAGCTGGAGAGAGAGCGTGAAGAAGAAGAATGGGGAGGCATACCACCCCATCTTGAAGAGCTAATCAAGCATGTGGAGAGAAACCCTTTCTACAATTCTACTTCAGAGTGTGCAAAGGAGCATCTATGCAACTTTGAGCAGCTTTGCCACGACTATGGAGTTGGAGATAACCCCAAGAAGATACAACTTTTCCAACTATCTTTAGCTGGACAAGCCAAAGAATGGGCTAAGTTCAACGCCCAACATGCTTTCAAGACTTGGAATGGATACAAAGGAGCTTTCCTCTACAGATTTGCTAAAGGTCCCATTTATGTTCCACCACCACGCCCCAGTAATTTTTCGATGGATTTCCGACGGTTTTCAACAGCACAAAAACGGTCGGTAATCCGTCGGCAATTTCCGACGGATTAGAACTCGTCGGAATTATTGGGATATTTTCGATGGTTTAGCGACAAATTTTATTTCCATCGTATATAGGGAAATATTTCCGACAGTGTTTCAACAGGCATGAAGTCCGTCGTAAATCACAGGAAACATTTCCGACGGTTTAATGAGGAATACAAAATCCGTCGGGAAAATTTTGATTAATTCCGTCTACAATTCGTCGGATATATTTGCGATAAATTTCCGACAAATTTCCGTTGAGAAAATAAGCGATGACTTTCCGACGGAATCATTTTCTGACGGATTATCGACAGATTTCCCGATCAGGACCATTGCGGATAATCT